TTTTGAATCTGGCATTTCTTGTTAATTGGTTGTGTGAATTTGTATATATGAAATTTATCATTTTGAAATTAGGTTCACATTTAAGTAATAACGCGGGTTTATGATGTTAAATGGTTAGATTAATATTAATTCATAGGTATTCAATAAGTGAATGTAAATTCTACATTTAAAGCAATAAATATCATTATTAAATAATTTTCTTCGTTTTATTTCATCTTAACAAGGTAGTATCATAAGTAAGTTTAGCAATACATTATAAATTGATAAAATAATTAAATGCTAAATTCAAACTTACGATCCTTATTGTTGTCTTCAATAGTGTGTTTTCTTAAATTTGATGGGTTTGCCGTTGAATTTAGATTGTCAGCATTTTTAAGGAATTCAGGACTGTATATTTAATTATAGTAGTTACTGATTTATTTCTTTCAAATCTTAAAATTTATAAAAAATAAAATGATAGACTCATTTACTTACATAATACAGTATTAAATGAATAGCTGCTAACGTTTTGAAAAGAATCTATAGAACTTGATGCAAAAGATCTAGAAGTTTGAAATAAAACCGAAAGCACAGAATCTATAGTAGGATTCAATAATTTACTGTGCGTTTTAGAACAAGGATGCATATATTTGGCTATAAATTGTCCGGACTTAAGTAATTCTTTTCGTTTATTTTCAGCTTCTATAAAAATTTTATCTACTTTCCAATATCTAGAAATGACTTCACTATATATTTCATTAATAGATGGTCTTTCTAAAGGATCTGGATGCCAACATTTTTGCATCAAAATAGCCCAACATTGTGGTGTATCTTCTGTAATTTTTGGTCGCAATATTTTATCACATATTTTGAACATAAGATGTGCATCATATGCCTGATCATAGAAAGGACGCAATCCAGATGTAAGTTCCCACATAATCATTCCTAAACTGTAGATATCGGAGCTAAATGAATATTGCTTTTTGATTAACACCTCAGGTGCAATATATGGCATGATTCCGTATATTTTTGTTTCTGAACTTTCCAGGTCATCTTTAGCTGGTCGACTAAATCCTAAATCAGCAATTAAAAGAGTAGGGGCAGATCCAGTCATTGTCAATTTACCTATTAATATATTTCCATCGTGTATATCACGGTGTATAATTTTATTTTCATGAATCCATTTAATGCCTGTAACAATATTTCTAAGAAAGTCTCGTTTCATTTTCCAAGTAATATCCTTAAAATTATTTGATAAATAATCATTTAGACTTCCATTAGACATATAAGGCATAACAAAAATATAATCATTTGTTTTTGGATCTTGTGACACTCCATAACATTTAATAAGGTTGCGTCCATAGGTGTTAGGCTGACTTTTAACAATATTTTGTAACTGCGGCAAAAATGACAAATTTTTAGAGTAATGTATCGATAGTTAAAAAAAGTTTATTTAATATTACCTCTTTTAAGAATGCCGAATTAATGTTTTGGGAGTCTTTAAGAACTTTTAAAACAATCGTTAGATTTTCACTTCTATTAACTTCATTTTTTGTTGTATTCCAACCTGTTATTTCTCCTTTTGTCCATATAGCAGTATAAATTTCGCTAAAACCACCAGTTCCAATCTTGGTTATATCTGTAAAATCGTTAAATGATATCCATTCTAATATAAATTTATGTTGATTCTTGTATGTTGCTTTGATCAGATTGTCAATATCCTGATTTCGCTACTAACAACATTCTGGAATTGTGTATAATAGCAGGCTGTACACAACTTATTATTCTTATATTGAAGTTTTCTCTTTCTATTACAGTCAACACAATAAGTTTGTTTGGAATGGCAACGAATACATTGTTTATCGGATCTAAGTTTTCGCTTTTTATTGCAGTTTACGCATTTTTCTATATTGTGTTTCTTATTTATACTTTATTTTATTTGTCTAACTGTTGTATCTTCAAGAGAAAAAGCTGTATAATTTAATAGCCTACATATAAGTTTTATGCTTGCTAAAAATTTGCTTTATATATAATTCAAAACGATAATAACAATGGAAGCGTATTAAATTTAAAAAATAACAATGAATGCACATGAGTCACCGAGTAAAGTCAAGATGTATAGTATAATTAAAATTGGGATCGTGCCTATTAAAGGAGTAACACTATAGAGGCATTATAAACAATGGTAAATTTGCAATTTAATTTAATGGCAAAAAGAAATTATTTATCCATTTTATTTGTTTCCCATATCGAACGTTCATTTTTCCAGCAGAAATGTTTGATCGCAGATCGTGCCATTAATGGCAGATTACAAAGTTTAGAACATTCTGGTATAAATCATAGAATTCGCGATTTCCAATTATAGAATATTACAATTGGGAGTTTGTAAATGGGAGCTTAAAAATTCTTAATTGTGTTTCTAACTTTCGAATTTAGAAAATGAAATAGAAGTCCTGTTTTATAAAATCTATCATAAAATAGAATGATTCAAAGTCATTATTTCTGAAACCTGTTATGCTTTACGAATAATTTAAACGCCTTAATTAATAAGAATACAGTAATAACAGTCATTTTTGACCTGTTCCATTAATCACTATTTAGCACGTAACAAATCCAATAGGGGTTCAAAATTAACTTGCAGGAATCTAATTTTGACAGAAATAGATAACGTTTTCATTCTCAAATGAGCAAT